AATTGATAACCTGAAGTTTTAGTAACGAGAGATTCAGGACCTATCAAGGATTCAACCTCAAATCTGAAGGTGTAACTGCCACAGCTTTTTGAAAAGGTTATTGTCTCGTTTACCGAGCAGCTTATAATTTGCATAACTGTCTCTGAACGCGTTTGCGTTTGCGTGATGTTAAATGGATTTTGCTGTGCATTACAGTTCCATTGTTTAAGATCTGGTTTACCTTGACCTTCGTAGCACCATCCTGGTGAAAGCGTTGCAATATTTTTAATATTCTCAATACTAGCACTGCCTTCCCGCTTACTTAATCGATATGCTGTTTTGTGACATATTAAATTTGTATCCAGATAAGATACTGAAATGTCGTCGTCCCATAAATGAGCAGACCATGCGCAAAGTTCGACTTGGTTTTCGAATGAAATAAAAATAACAGATATTCGGTGCCGCACATTAGTCCAAAAATACACGGATCCCAACCATTTCCTCATAATAGGTGTAGTGACAAATGTCATAACAATATCGTCGCATCTTACATTATGTGGAACCATACTACCATCGTAATCGGATAATTCGTGATATTTAAATTGACCGTAAGTCGCACTAGTTATCCAGTGATGCAAGTTAAGTGTGGGGCTAACCCTTACTTCTTCAACTTTGAGGTGAGGACTGGAAATAAAGATTGCAAATTTACGAGACGAACTAGCGCGCGATTTGAATATGTCGATTTGCAAATATTCTGGACTCGCAAACTTAAATTTCACCATGTTTAAAATTTTTACTGGGAGGTTTACATTAAACCAATCAACACTATTGTAGGATCCGTCGTGTAGTATTTGCACATCGCAGGATATCAGATTGTCTAGTAAGATGTTAAATGCTGGAATAACGCCATTCCGTAACCCAGCTCCTGACGCGTTATGGACCCAAAGATATAAAATAATGTAAATATAACTGGGTTTCATCTCGATCCCTTTTAATTTACTTGTGTCCGCAAATGCTTTGATGTTGGTATGGCAACCTAGAGATGGGGCGTTTAATGTCCCAATGCCTACATAAAACACGAGTTGCCCTCATATAGGAAATTGTACTGACCGATGTATGTTGTTCGATCCTCAATGAAATTGAGTTTCCAGGAAAACTTTTCCAAAATATGAGGTTGTAAATTTCAAACTTACACAGAGGAAGTTCAAAACTTTCTAGTAATTTTGAGGTGTGGGAATACATATTTAAGCGGAGATACAATAGGGATTCGTAGAAACTAGATAAATCCGTCCTTCAGTGTGACGCTTTACATACGTGGGCAATAATACATACGTGTCTTATGCACATCGACGGTATAAAAAACCAATTACGACATACACAATATCGTAATTATGTAGTTTTGTCCTCATTTCTAATTTTGGCCTTGTAAATATTTTATATGCAAAGTAGATATTCATACGTACGTAGGATCAGGGTATTCATGTTTTACATTACAGAGGGTTTTTTACATTACAAACCTACCTATATCCAACAACAATATACATGCAGCCTTACCCAACTTTTACTACATGTAAATATATACGAGCAGACAAATAAAGATTGAAATTGACAAACCATATTTAGATTCAACGTTTATAATGGACAGCTCATAATATTATCCAATTCAAATCATTGCATAAATATGTAATTATTTAGTAACTAGTCTATAACCCCGTCTAAAAGACGGGCCACATTTCAACTTCTTCATCCAAAATTTACAATTCATACAGTAAATTTATTTACGTTAAGCGTTGGTTCCAGGTATATAAAATTACACAATTAATGCAACTGAAAAAAAAACAATTTTACCGTTATGGCAAGTGTATTCGAACCTCATAATACAAATACCATACTTATTGCGAAAACTTGGAATTCCACCTACATACTTAGACGTTTGTTTTTTAAAATATGAAATACGAAATACCAAATATGAAATACCAAATATGAAATATGAAATATGAAATACCAAATATGAAATACCAAATATGAAATATGAAATATGAAATACCAAATACCAATTACCAAATATGAAATACCAAATACCAAATATGAAATACCAATTACCAAATATGAAATACCAAATACCAAATATGAAATACCAAATATGAAATACCAAATACCAAATATGAAATACCAAATACCAAATATGAAATACAAAAGTCTTACAACGTTGCTATGCAATTTTTTAAACGTTGCTATGCAATTATTTAAACGTTACTATGCAATTTTTTAAACGTTGCTATGCAATTATTTAAACGTTACTATGCAATTTTTTAAACGTTGCTATGCAATTATTTAAACGCTACTATGCAATTTTTTAAACGTTGCTATGCAATTATTTAAACGTTGCTATGCAATTATTTAAACGTTACTATGCAATTTTTTAAACGTTGCTATGCAATTATTTAAACGTTACTATGCAATTTTTTAAACGTTGCTATGCAATTCTTTAAACGTTACTATGCAATTTTTTAAACGTTGCTATGGTATTTTTTAAACGTTGCAATGCTATTTCTTTAACGTTGCGATGCAATTCTTAAAACGTTGCTATGCAATTTTTAAAACGTTGCTATGCAATTTTTAAAACGTTGCAATGCTATTTCGTCAAGGTTGATATCGTCCTGCATTACGTGATGACTTTAATAAAACCATAACCAAAGCCATAACCATAACCATAGCCATAACCGTAACGATAACCATAACCGTAATTGAACCTGTGCTCTGATTGGTCGATGCAGAACCCAACAGCCAATCACAATGCTGGAATGTCACGGAATATTCAACGGGACGGATTCATTCTTAAGAATAACAATAAAAATGTCAGGTATATAATCAATTGTTGTTGTAAATGCGACTGGTAAGTTTGGCTTGTGCGAGATTTGCCTAACCCACACCCTTACACCCAATTTTTAGCCCGAGTCAGGGCTTATGGAACCGTCATGTCTGTCTGTCTGTCTGTCTGTCTGTCTGTCTGTCTGTCCGTATGTCTGTCCGTCTGTCCGTTCGCACGATAACTTTAGAATGCATTGACCGATCGACTAGAAATTTTGCACAAATTTAGAACATGCCAAATTAGGAATCACATTCGAAGATGAGCAAAATCGGTCCAGTGGTTGACCGGTGGGGGTCATAGGTCGGGTGGGGTCAAATATCAAAACAGTCGTAGGAGGCTGAAATTTGGCATGAAAGTTGGTAATGGCTTCTAATAGAAGAATATGAATAGAAATTGGAAAAATTATCCTCCTGGCGGACACAATAGGGTGATCCATACTGATTTTTGAAAATCGCCCAATCAAGCTGAAATTTGGCATAGAGGTTGCTAACGGCTTCTAATTGAAGAATATGAGTAGAAATTGGAAAAATTATCCTCCTGGCGGACACAATAGGGTGATCCATACTGATTTTTGAAAATCGCCCAATCAAGCTGAAATTTAGCATAGAGGTTGCTAACAGCTTCGGCAGCTACATAAATGTATTTGGAAGCCTTCAATTGTAACGTATCCCGTTAGTAGCGGCCCCAATTTGGGTCTCGAGGATGACGTAATCTGTACAGCAGAAGGCGGCAATGTTTATAAATTCAAGTCTATCTAAATAAATTGGAAAAATCTCGGTGTGTATTTTCGCTAAAGGCTTGTTTAAATTTTATTTCATCAGGTATATCGTAAGCAGTATCGGACTCTTATCCTAATACCGACACGAGCAGCAAATAATTCAACTTGTACGCGAAGATGGATCACATGGATGTCACAGAAACGAGGAATTTTCACGACGAAGTTGTTCTATGTAGATTGGGGGGGAGGATACTCCGATCCATTTCAAGGGTTTGGACAAATCAAAGAAAATCTTGGCTATCCGTGGCGAACAAAATGATTGGGTTTTCAGTTATCAAACGGAAAAGGGCAGCTGGGCGGAGGATATTTTGGGGAATAAACGGCAATATGGATGTGTCGGTGTTACCTTTGTGCTTAATATGGGAAAGCTAGTGGATTAGTTTGATTTTGATCTTGTGGAATGTAACACAATTTATGTGTATTTGAAATGCAATGCCTGGGTTATATATAAATATTTATGGTATTGAGTATTGTATTTTGGAATTTGTTGTTGTACGTTTGTTGTACTATGGTGGATGGAAAAATAAAATGCGTTAATTTATTTAAATATTTTGATGATTTATGTCAGACAAATAAAATATTCCAGCTAATTAAATATTTACAGGTGCATTTTACACTGCATAGAATAATATGAGCTATGCAGCCTAACATGTGCACCTAAAATGGAATAGGGTGCATAAAACTCTCGACTTGGTGCTACGAATTTGAGAATTTTTGTGGTTATCATTATAACGTCTACTTAAATATGCAATTGCTGAATTTGAACTTTTCCATTCTAAAAAGTCCTATGTGCACCCACTTTATTAGTTATGCATCGCAGTATTTAGTCAAATAATGCATAACTAATAACATGGGTGCACATAGGACTTTTTAGAAGATTTTTTTGGAACATAGGACTTTATAAAATTAACCATCAATGGAACATACTACTATTTAGAATTAGTACGACGATATGTTTTTAAAACCCATAGTTACAAAATACCCTTTTTACATGGATTAATTAATGTCAAAGGAAAAGTGCACAAAAATCTCTAATTTTTTACGTCGGCCATAGAACCATATTACTGTTGGAATTGCTGTTATTGGAAAAATTCTGAGTACGCTTGGTCCAAGTAGTGGTCTTGCATGTTAAACTTTACTCTCCACCGTATATTCGACAACAGCAGCAAATCCTTGGTTGCGGTGAATTATCTCGGCCCTCAAACTACAGAGGTATGCATACATACATTGAGTAATTATGTACATTTGCTTAACATCTTGTATTAATGGCTATGCGACTAGTACTGATCGTTTCGTCTATTTAGTTAATCGACGCTGAAATTAAACACGCCTACTGGCAGTTAATTTTTACGTATGCTCGGGGAATGTATATAGACTTACAATTAGAATTACATTTATTTGTCTCAAATTTGTTAGGTGATACAAACTGCAGTGTTGATTGACATTGTAAATAATCTTAAGGATTCCAGTAGTATTAGCAGTTAATTAGTTATAACGAGGATGTATAAGCACGTATAAATTTTACAGTTTGCTGACTGACCATTTTTTTAGGTTTATAAATATTTCCAACTCTAGCTAAATCGAAGAATGTATTTATATCAACCAATTTTTAAAATTATTTCAAGTATAGGACAATTTTGATATGTACTAAATAAATAAGTTAATATTTTTGAATACGAATAAATTTAAATATGTTGTAATTATTTATATACATACATATTTGAGCTGGCAAAGACTTGTGGTCTCAGTCGCTATCAGTTATCACTTCTGTGACAACGTTTCCATCACATCCCCACGTTACCTTGCCAACCTCAATGGCAGATGCGGTGGTAAGACTTTTCCCGTACGTATTACCATACCCATTATTTCCCACGGTTTTGGAGTAATTCAAGCAAATCCAGTCTTCCGCGTCTTCACCAGCTTTGATTTGCCATGTGTTAAGTCCTGTAAAATAGTAGGAATACGCCCGTTTAGATGGCGTTAAATATAGTCCTGTTTCATTAGTTGACCATGACCTCCCAGAAAAATTAATATCTTGAAAAAATACAATTTTCCTCTCAGACTGATCGGCATCACCAAAACGGGTAACTTGGAAAAACGTAAAATCATAAGACATATCATGTTCTGCGCAGCCATCATCTACACCGGCACGAATTGATGTTGGGCAGCCGGTACGCTCACATAATTCCACCTTCCATCTATCAAAATGAATAGGTAGGTTTTAAATTAATTTATTGTCGAAATAATAGGTAACATGCGGCCACAATTATTAGTAAAAATTACAATCCATTAGCTCTTGAATATAGTTGAATCCGCCCTAAGGAAATTGATTTAACTCCGGAATCGGTGAAGCTTTGAAATGGATCACCCAGACATCCCGAGGTGTTCCAGAAACGTAGGAATTGTTGTTGACCGTTAGTTAGGGTCCCGGCATCTAGTAACAGAACCATGCTAGTGACGAAATAAATGTATGGTTTAACACAGTAAGACGGCATCGTAAAAAATATTTACGTAGTTTACTTAGGAACATCAGCTAACTTTTGCTGAGGTATGGTAAAGGATGAATGAATGTGTGCATTTCTGACAATTGCAAGAGATTAAATAGGAATGAGGTTATCAAAATGTGACAAGAATTGAATTAATATTATGTCACATAATTTCAGACAAGAACTGACGCACATCCATATGTACTGACGTCTTAATTATGTACATAATTATCATTGTATAATATGATTTGACGCACAGGGCATAGGGAATCAATTTGTTGCGGTATGCTGGTATGTAAATAGGCCAATATCAGAGATAGATCGATCATGTCACATCACCGATATCTGCGTAGATCCTGTATAAAGCATGCATTCACAGAAATTGATTAGTGAGCACATACATATGTAGGTACAAACCTAGATAAAAGGTAGATAAAAAAGATGAAATTTCAAAAGGGCGAATATTGATTCGCTTTGCTTCCCCACCCCCTTTGTCTAGCGTTTACTTTAAGTATTGAGTGCTTCGTACTAATTCTAATTTCAGGCATTACAGTTGCCTGTATAGCAGTTGGGGAAGGGTCACTAATCCTCGCATTGTTATAGTACGTAATTATTGCCACCTTTGAGACACATTTCGTTTACTTAATTTCATAATAGTATACATTTTCACATGGAACATACCCTCTGCGAGATTTCTTACCGCCAGTTTATGCAACATTTATTAACCACATGACTCTTCGTTACAGGAATGTGTAAGTAAGAAATTTTTGGTCTGGCTAAATAATTGACTATGTCTTACCCGGTCAAAGGACCACTCACAAAGACAAGGTCTTAGCAATTCAACCAGTTCAATTTATTTCATTAAACGATAGCCGCAGCCTATATGGCTACATGTTCATGCATATTTATATATTGTGAAGAAACATTAAAAGTATTAAAAACATTTGAAACATCTTGATCGTAATATTATGAACATTAATTCTTTAGAAAAAATTGTCCAGATAAAATAATTTTTCGCTTCCATCCATCATCCCAAGCTTCGTCTTCTTGCTAAATAGGTGTGGACTTACCCTGTTGCTTTCTGAAGCACACGTTTATACATAAATGTATTTATTTCGCAATTGATTGCACAGTATTCAAATATGTACCGTTGTAAGATATCCTGACGCGTTAGTTATATAAATTTATTATCTAATTCCTCACATCCCGTCGGTGATCTGACTCCGTGCATATACACTCAAGTGTCCACACAGGTTCACGCTTACCATCAATCATAAATAATCTGAAAATTGTTGGAATCGTTCGAGTCGTAAATTGTTAACTTATCTGTTTTAACCGCAGAATACACTTCGGCCAAATAGCCTTCACCTGTCTCGCGGTATCAGTATCATGCATAACAGAATTGAATTACAGACTTGTTGAACAACTGTATAAAGCATTCCGTCTCTGAGTATGCAATATAGGTCTGGAAATAAATATCTGACTACCACTATTATATAAATACTACCAGATAAGCCCGTCTTACGATGGTCGTATTTGTAGTACGTTAAGAAAAAAAACATGCATTGCAAACTTATAGAAATCGTCGAAATTTCGAATAATTGTCGAAATTACAATTAGCGACAAAGTTGTTAAACTTCAAAATCGGCACCAGCTGGGTAAATCAAAGTCGTGTTCGTTCATCCCAACCGTAGCTGTAAATTCTTCTACCGTAAAAAAATCATCTCAGGAATTATGAAAAATACAAGGGGTATGAGATGTCATAACCAATGTACATACGATTAAATTATGTATGTAATAACTTATGTATGGACTGGAATTAAGAATGGAATATTTAATTTAATTTATGCCTCTTGAATAATTCACATGAGTAGAAAAGTAATCAAGAAATCAATACACTTCTGCCAGATGACAAGTGATGTCAATGTATCGAAGAATCCGCCATCACCCAACGACAACTTTGATGGGGGACACGACTTAATAAAACGACCCTCCCATTTTGAACATTTTCCCTTATTTACGAGATGAATAAATTCCAGGGATTCGACATACGGGTAGGATAGAACTTTGAAAACTGCGTGGATTATGATCCAGAAATCCACCGCAATAGCCAGGAAAAAAATGAGGACCGGGACTGGAATAATATTACTGGAAGTAATTAACAAAAATAGGGCAATACTTTCAGCAACCGTTGATCCGAATGCCACCACAACCATGGAAGGGAGACAGAAGACAAAGTTATGAAAATTTGATGACAATTGTAGCGTTCTATATTTCTCTATGTGCACCCACGTATTATACCTCTTCTTATTCTTGAAAAAATGAGGGACAAAGTGTATGTACCAACTATATAATTTTTTGTTAAGATGGAGGAACTAAGCTAGGCATATGCTTACCCCATTAGCACGGCTAACAACAACAATTTAACTTCACCAGGGTAAATGAGCATTATTAGAATTGCAAAGTCAATCAAACCACAGGCCACGAACCATGTGTAGAATTCAAAAACTGCAAGAATCATTTTGAATAAAAATGTTGAATTTCCCTCAGTTCCCCAATTGTGGCAATCCAGAAGTCCCAAAGTACCTAGGCCAGGCGGCATGCATGGTTTGATCAAGCTCAGGAGAAATATGGCGGTCGGGAGTATCACCAAGCTACCTGAACATACTCCCCACATGATGATAAAAAGCCAGGATATGTTTCCTTTACTGGGTAATCCTGCTGTTGCATTTAGTAAATATTGTAAAAACTTAAAAGTGTTTCAATATTTACATAAATTCACCAACCACTGTTTGCCCGGCAATCATTTTCAAATATCAGTGACGAATTTAGGAGCATAATGAGTTCCTTCTTGACCCTGTCGACGTGTTGAATGGTAAATAAAGCCGGACCAAATAAAGCGATGAAATATGTGATGAAAAGATATTTCCAGTTGTCTACAGGTTCCAAAGTATTGGACCAATTTGTATGAAACCAGTAGAGAAGTAAAGATAAGTGTACAAGGAGCGTGGATATAGCAATAATTCGAAGTGTGCATGAAATCCTGTCAGATTTACAAGGTTTGAACTTTCCGTTGTGAAAACGTATGGTGGTCTGATTCATACTGAGGGATAGTTTTGTGAGCAAAATAACTAAAGGGATGTTTGAGTCGGGGTGGGTTGGAAATTGGTGTTTCTGAAGTTTTGCAAATAGTGGGTGCATTATATGTAGGTCTTGCAGGATTGGTGTGAAAGCTAGATGATTAGATAGGTTTAAATAATTCCTTCCAGATGAATGTGGTCATACATAGTTCCGTCGACAAACCTTTTAGCTAACTGATTGTAAGCAATATTCTATGCGATTATCCAGCTTGCTGTAAGTTTGTGAACGTTCAGCTTTTATAGAAATCGATTTCTGGTTAGGTTCAACGTTTAATAATTTACCTAATTTTAAATTAAATTTATTCAATATCCGTCATTTTCAATTTATTTAACTCCGTAACCCAAATTTTGTTTTAATTAAATTTAGTTTACCTCAAGTTATATTTGCTTTGAATTAAATTTGCGTAGATATCAAACTACGTATTACTGCGGAGGAGCAAGAAAGAACCCGGTCTGAGCTTTCGTATAGCACACTATACCTGTCCCTGACTTTTATAGTGTGCTATACGAAAGCTCAGAACGGGTTCTTTCTTGCTCCTCCGCAGTACTTAAATTAAATTATGGTCTGAATTTTATAATTAGTCCCCCCCGCCATACATGTGCAACTGAAATTCCCCTTACTTCCCTTCCTTCTTTTCAAACATAAGAATTCCATCCTTCCTTCCCTCCCCTTCCCGTCGCTTCCTGGAAGGAAAGCTTCCTTCCCTTCCCGGAAGGAAAGCTTCTTCCCCTTCCCTTCCTTCTCGAGAAGGAAGCTTCCATCCCTTCCTTCTCGAGAAGGAAGCTTCTTTGTGAACAAATTGGGGCAAAGTGAGATTTTTGTGGGGCAAAGTGATATTTTTGTGGGGCAAAGTGATATTTTTGTGGGTCAAAGTGAGATTTTTGTGGGGCAAAGTGAGATTCTTATGGGGTGAATTGAGAATTTCAATGTTCCGCCCTTCCTCCTTTCACGATTCCTTCCCTTCCTTCTTACTTCATTTCCGTCCTTCCTTCTCCTTCCTTCTCCATCCTTCCCATTCCTTTTTCTTCCTTCTCCTTCCCGTCCTTCTTCTTCCTTCTCCTTCCCGTCCTTCTTCTTCCTTCTCCTTCCCGTCCTTCTTCTTCCCTTCCTTCTCCTTCCTTCTCCTTCCCTTCCTTCTCGGGAAGGAAGCTTCTTTCTGCTAAAATAGAAGGAAGCTGCACATGTATGCCGCCCGCCATAAGTAATACATACAAGAAAGGGACTAATTATAAAATGCAGACCATAAGTTAAAATGTATTTCCCGAAGCAGATGGTGCACTGAAAATCCCTCGTAGTCGTGTGGACATGGTTGACATGCGCGGTTAAGGAGCACGACATGGTGAACGCTTTGAGGCACTGGGAGCATTTAAATTTCTTCGCGCCGTGAACCTTCTTAATGTGGACGTTGACGTCGCGCAAGTTGCGGAACGAGTTGGAACAAATGGAGCAGGGAAAGTTCCTCGTGGCGATGTGGACGGATTTGAGGTGCGATTGGAGGGCAATTTTGGAACTTAATGTTGCCTTACAGTGGGCAAGTAAACATGAAAAGGTGGACATTTTTAAGGGACGACTATACTAATAAATAAGAAGGGAAACTTCCGACCTGTCCCTAGGGTACGCAGCTATGCCCAAATGTTTATAATCAAGCGGTGGAATGGTGGAAGAAAAATCGCTTTTTGTCAACATATGTATGACGATATTTGTGGCGCTCACCGTAAGTATTGTCAAGGATTGAGGAATGGAAAAGAGTTATACGGAAATTCACTCTTTCACTTTACTACAGGTATATAGTCCAAGATTTGGCATATTTTTTGTATAGGTGAGTACCCTCGGACAGGGAGGCCGTTTCTCTTGCTAAATTTACTCTTTGATTTTCAAAGATTATTTAATTTTTGCGAACAGTTTTATCCAAATCCTGCGAATTCGTTGTACTCAACGGTAAAGAATTCTGTTGTCTGGGAAGGTACAACTTTCTCCACTTTGGCGTGAAAAATGTATCAGAAACAGAAACTATTGGTGGAACAAATTTCTCCGTGAATGGTAATAAATATGTACGGATAAAGGGAAATGTGTGGAAAAACTGTTGTCACATTTCGCACATGTTCCGGTAAAAAGGACGATGCCAAACTGAAAATACCTTGCGAATATTAATTATTTTACACAAGTGATTTTTACCACACGCAAATAATATTTAATACAGAGATGACTTCACTATTTTTTGAAATTTTAATTAAGGCTTTCCGTACTTACCAAGTATTAAGGTGTTGAAAACAATACTGAACAATTATCAAAACTGTAGCATTTATAAGAAGGTCAGCACTTGAATTGAGTTAAATAAACAATTTGAACTACCACTGATATTTTTCCTGAGATTTATAAATTCCTATATAAAAATATGGAAGCCTTTCTTTACCTATATTTGCGATGTACGTTCAGAGGTGGACAAAACATTCAAAGGAGCGCCTGTTGAATTTAAATGAATCTAATTCTGCAGAATTATGAATCAAATTCTAACTGAAGGATGAAATAATTCTCCAGGGATTTACTCATGCTGACTAAGTGGGTAGGGAGAAAATAATACGTTTTTATTCTGTGATATCAAGTATATTGAAATATTTTCAAAACAATTGTACTTGGGTTGAATTAAGTAAAGATTATTTAAGTTTGTGTGCACTGAATTATTCACGAGTGGAAAAGTAATCCAGGAAATCGATACATTTTTGTCAAATGACGAATGACGTCAATTTAGGGAATCTCCCAGTTCCAATTTATATGGGGGGACAGGACATAATGAAACGGTTCTCCGGGAGAACCGTTTCATTACGTCCTGTTCAAGATGGGAGAACTTCTCCCATCTTGAATAATTAGATGTTTTCACTAGTTTTCACTGGTTTCGTCAATCTGTGACGATATTTGTGACGAGCGGTGGACGATGGACGAGTTGGGAAAGAGTGAGGTTCCGGCTGCGGAGAGGTTTTGACCTCCAAACACTAAAAATGGCAGGCGGCCGTCCTTTTATAAATTCTACAGTTTTAAAACTTAAGTGATTAAGTGATTTAATGAGTTTTATATATGTCGAAATATCCATAATCACATCTGCTTGTTACATGCAGCACAAATTGTGCATAGGTGGCGACCAGGTGGTAAAAATTTTAAGGGTAGACGAGCAAGAGGGAATCCGTCATCATTAACCATGCGGATCTTTGTCAAAAGATTAAGATGGGCAAAAGCGCATGAGGGTTGGACCAGTAATGACTGGTCCAAAATATTTACTATGAAACCAGATGTGTCTTTTTAACTTTTACGTGGAACCAGGAGAGTAAATGCGTGGATATGCACAAATTTAGGACACCAACAGGTTTCTTACGTATCGCGTTAAAGATCGTGACGAACGACGTTCCCCAAGCGATTGAATGATTTCAGTTTAGTATAAGAGAACATGCACTGAATTATCATGATCTCCTTGCGTAACCGATCTGTTGTTTTTTTTTGTAATATTGCTAACGGTTTTTTTTCGCAGATTAATTTTTGCACGGTAATAACACTACCGTCTAAATGAATTGTTATACTGCGAAGAATTTCATCAATTTCCACTTGACTGTCAAGTACTATCAACTTGGTGGTGGGGATGCAAATGGTGTACTAATTTATAAAGGGAAAACATATTTGAACATTTCTTTTGGTTTCACGAAGTGGGTGCCCAATAGAATTTGAAATTTATTCAATTCCATACATAATGAGAATATTGTTTTAAATGTAACACATACATCCTTGGTAAAACAAATTTAAGGGTAAAATATATAAATAATTCTTAACCTTAATTAATTATCCTAGCTTAAACTATGTGGTTATTTTCCCGAATTAGAAAATATTGTGATTAATTTATAATAAGTACTACTTCAATTCATGTCGGCGAGTGTGGAATAATCAGGTTTAGATGCATCAATAACCCCCACAATCCCCGCCCCCAATCCTACAACAGGCTTTCGATTTACAATTCCGAGGACAATGTTGATTTGCATTGCATTTGACTTGGTTCCCTCGACAACTCCAAGCCCCTGTGTAGATGCATCTGCATTTATGGCCGGCCGGTGGACCTCGACTAATTTTGCAGCCACCCCAATGATAATTACAGTCACACGCTGTTAATTAAAAGTGAATGAAAAAATCTGTAACTACATATTTCTGGTATTGCACAGCTTAAAAAATATTATAAATATCTTACCAATTGCTGCCGCGACGGTTAGAATGAAAAGAATTGCAATAACTGTTGTCTTCATTATTTTTCTCTCTTAAAATTGTGTGAAACTTGGATCAAATTAAGAACCGCGATATTTTTGGATATGTGACAGAACTCAATTTCCTAACGCCTTTTATGTAAAATTCATGAGTACTTAAACAAATGCATGTGTATGTATGTATGTACCTCGATAGTGCAAATTAAGTTGATGCGTCATGTGTATGTATCCTGATGACGCGGAGGAGTTGTGCCAAAATAATAAAAATTTGACAAACAGCACTTGGCGTACGTATATACTGACATGTCCTTATGTTTGACAATAATAGGATAAAACTTGCAACACGAGATTTGTTTTGGTTTTTGAGGCATTGGCCTTCTTCGACTTGGAGTGTAATGAAATTATATGTATTTGATATCTTAAGTACTCGCATTAGGAGTGCGTGACTGATGTGGCGTATGGATTTTTGTCAAGTTTGAGATTGTGATAACTGAGCCAATATATGTACCTCAACAATGAAGATCCAACCGAGTTACACATTTCCTTTTATGCATTTAGTTTGAGAAATCTGCAGGAATTGGTCCTCATATCCCATAAAGGAGGCAGTATTTTGAATTGTACGTGATAGGTATAAAATTCAACACTTTTTATTCCATATTTCGTACCTTGACATATTCTACGCAAATAAGAAGAGGACTTCTTTGCAAATAATGTTAGATTCTAAAATTGTTTAAATTTTGGTGTAATCACCCATTCGGAAGTAATGAATCATAAATTCACTGTACATGAAACTCTATTAGTTACAATTTTGGAAATTATTAAACCTTCCTGTTTTTATGAGTTAAAAGTCTAATTACTTGTTTCTACCATTATAGAGTGTTAGCAGAGTTTCAATAATTTTACAATTCATAATCTACCATAAAATACTGGCTTCGCAAGAGTCGAACAATTCATTTGTCTAACCTTAAAGTTTAATTACATATGTATGCATATGTGTGAAAAGTAAAAAGTCTATTCAACGCGAAGGAAATAAATTACTATCCGCTTTCATGCGCGAGGAAGCCAAGAAACAACCTGTTAATCCCTATGTATGATTATCATATTTGTATTAATGTAATCCTACATACAAGAGAACCAAATTGTAATGAATAAAAATGAGAAATACTATATGACAAATAATTTATGCATAAATATTTCTGCACAAAATTGGGCCAATTTGTGGATAAAATTTAATTCATAAGAATTTCTGCATAAACCATTCTACACAAACATTCCTGTAAAAATTTTCGGTGCGTGCAATTTCTGCACAAAAATTTCTGCACCAAATTGGGATAATTTGTGGCACAAAAAACCACACAGTTCGACAGAAAATTTGTGTAGAAAATACAACGATATTTCAACCAGGGATACGTGGTTGGTTAACTAATAGGTACGTACATATACGAATTCAAATAACGCAGATTGGTTAGCCTGTCACCACAGAAAAACATTATTTTTCAAATCATTATTATTTTTTTTTATTTTTTTCACAAATAAAGTCAAATGTACGAAATCGCATAAACTAAATATAGTTCCATATGTATTTATTTCGGAATTAAATCATTTATAAAATAATGGAAATAAGGAATTAATTAAAACTTTCTTGTGCAGCACATGGTTGGATTTGGTGTGATTTAATTTTTACTGCAATAAACTTGTTCTAGAATCGGTGCTCCCATTTTCGGGCTTTGTTCACAATTTTTGTATTCTTTGACAAATTATAGGGCAACCTTGTTAAAGTAATTTGTGGTAGTTTTAGATTAAACACGCGCGATATGTATTATGCAGATCATTTTGTAAATGTAAAATTAATTAATTGTAATTTATTCGTGTTGGATATCTTGCCCCATCGACTTGACTATTTTCTATACGGCGAGACGGTAAATATTCTTTGGATTGGTATGAACTGATGCTCGGAGTGTCTGCAGCACCCCCATAGCGTTCTGGGACGTATTCACCATCACTTTGATAAGAGCTGGGATTATCGCCTCCGAAATCTTCACTATCAAAATCGCCGTCCTCGTCATCCCCACGAAATTGGGGTCTGGGCAGAACCCCGGTGACGAGGACAGATAACTGCGAGGAATGTAAGTAACTAAGTTTCCGAACTTTGTATGTAAATTTGTAAGCTTGATAAATTTAGATTTACCAAAAGAATGAGGAATTTCATGATGTTAAATCCTTAATTCTCTCGCCAAGGAAAGAACTGGCTACAAACTTATGCGGCTAGAAACCTTTATACATTTGTGAAGCAGTGTGAGTGGTATTATTTATGGTAAAATCGTACACTCTCCGAAAAATGTTTACCGGAATCATTACCCCGTGTAGTCTATATATGACTCTACTGCTGTGGTAATGGGTTAGTTACCGCGCGGTATTTAACAGAAAGATTACCATCCCGGCATTAACGTATTACTCCACAATAATATCATAAATATCATGCAATATGAACCTGCAACTGCACGCAGTAATGAAGTAATATTAGCCAGTAATGATATTATGATAAATGTATAAAGATGCTTATTACTGGGTGGTAAATAATCAACACCGCACCATAATCATATTATTATCGTTTGCTTATCGATATTTATTATTATGGTAATAAATGTTTCACTATTTCGGTAATTATTTTGATTATTTATTGTAATAATTCGCAATAATTAAACTACACAACTTAATTAAATACAAAAACCAATCAAGTTATATATAGCCTAAATTACAAATACATATATTTTTACAAGTAATGCCTTAAAACTAAATGAAAAGCATCGGTATTACAATTTTTTTGAAACTCAAAACATTCATGAACAATTAAATTAGATATATCCACAACTTCAAACAAATCATTTGTACGTGTAACAATATAGGAAAAATAGTGTCTGTCAAAGAAGTCTACATTTAGCTTTTTCAAAAATAACAGGCATCTGGTTTCATCAATTAATATTAGGTCCTGAATTACACCAAAATTTGGAAAAATATTTCCCATTCCATAGCAAACAACATAATCAATTTTGTATTTATAATTACGATACCAGACCTTATTTGCTGTATAAACTTTTGTATTTCCGTCACATTCTTTAAATATGTCAAACTGTCTTAATTTCTCGATTAAATCAAAAGACTCAGCAAATTCATACAAATTAGATACTACTATATTATCTGCCCTAACCCCCTCATTAATTTCAATAGTTTTTAACAAATGAGAACTATACTGTTGATGCCTTTTAGCCAACGATGAACAAATATTACGAAAATTTCTTATTTGTCCTGCTAATTGAGAAAAATAATTATGTTTCCCCTCATACCGCATGGCCCACATTGATACTAATGGCCCACTTTGCCTAATGACAAAAGAATAGTGACACATTAAATGGTGCTTGGGGATAAGTTTTTGATCTGGGAACAACTTACGAAATAGATTATGATGGCTAACTATTTTTGCATCTAATAATAACAAAGTAGATTCTGAAAATTTCCGACAAAATACATAGCTCAAAATCTCCAAAAGTTGCAATAAAATTTCCCAATATTTTTTTTGCTCATTACTAATAACTAAATCCCCAATAATCACTGGTAAATACCGAATCAGACACCAGGCTTGAGAAGCTTTTTGTCCAATTTTGTTTCCCGATCCTTCTAGTCGTATTGGACTTGGGCGATTCTTTGATTCTAAATAGCCAAAATTATGGGCCTGAATTCTTTGATTAATTAAATCTAAATCAAAGCACTTTAAAGATATTAATTTTTGTAAAACTAGTTTGATTTCGTACGGAACGACACCTTCCAGTAAATCGTGCATAATGTCAACAGACGGACTATCTAAAAAATTAAAATAATTAAGTTGATTTAAAATACATTCAGTTTGAACACCAAAAGATTTGTCACTTAAATGATTGGCATAATTACTTTTGTCCCTGACTATCATTTTGCTATGCTCAAATATTTCTTGTGCTTCACTTTTAGATGTACAGCATATTCGACAAAAATAATGGGAATTAAACGACTCATTAAATCCTAGCAAACTATTTCCACCTAAGTTGTCAAACGCAAGAGAACACAAAGTACCAAAAATTCTATCAGATCCATTTACCGATATGCCCACTTTCTCAAGATACAGGAAATCTGGAATTATTAATTTCAGAATTGAATTAATACCATACTTTTTGGCATCCTCCGAATAAAACAAGGCTAATAAATGTATTGAGCTAAGTTGGGAATTAATATAATCTGGAAGATTTTTAATAGTAAAGTAAAACGCTCCCAATTTGTGAATTCCTCGTTTTGAGCCAAGGGGATTGACTGTTTCAAAATCATCATAGAAAAGTTGAATTTGAATAGAATTCGGGTTCCTTGAAAAAAGACAATTAGTTTTAAATGCAACTGTATCTTTAAATGACTCGATTGAATTGGAATTTGAAGGTACAACTTTTGAAAAACACTGATAAATATCTGGAGATGAAACAAGTTTTTCTAAACTCTTGAGAATTGGTACATACATAAATGTATCTGATACAATAACTTCTTGACGTTTGTTATCTCTCACCCTTTGCTCCAGCCTACTTCCTAACGAATATTCTTTTGGCATAATTATTTGGCTATATTTTTCTAACGCTTTCTGTCGTTTGTAAATAGAATTTACGTGACTGAACGCTTCTATTAAAGATAGCGACTGGCAACTAAAGTCCTCAAAATTTTCTTTGCAAAATTTGTTGCTTATCCTTAAAATTAATTTTGAAATTTGAAGAAACGAATTTTCAAACTCTTTAACAACAAAGTCCACAGTTGAATTGGTAACACCTGAGGCTAACAATGACGAGCAGAATGAAATTAAAATATCTTTCATTACGTTAATTCCTAAATTGGTAGTAATATCTGCTTGTTCATTAAATTCAGTTAAATTGGGATCATTACCTACGTCATCTAAGACTGGATCTACTAAATTAAGTGAGGGAGTTAAATTTTCCTCAAAATTCTTATCATAATTTTCAGAATCTAAAACAATTTCGTGGGACTTAAAATGCCTCAACAATCCACTCCATGTACATATTTGTGTGCTACAAGACTGTTTAGGACATATTGTAGCTGGAAAATTTGCCTCACCGTAATTATGAATGCACCTAAAATGTACTATAATCTCTCTAAATTTACAAAATACTTTTCCACATGGACCACAAGTATACATTTTAATTTGTCGAGGAATTT